GGGGGCCCCCGCTCCCTGCCCGTGCCAGCCTGCCGGGCTACGTCCCCGGCTCCTTCGCCTTGGGTCACTTTTTGCCCTGCACGACCCAAGAGATGAGCCAGAAAGCCTGTGGGGAAAAAACTGCGGATTTAACAGATCCAAGTCAGGGTCACCCCAATCTGAACAAAGAGCTGGAGACGATGCTGTGAAGTGAACGGCGCGTTTCCCATCGGGACGCCCAGCTGTGCCTGGAAAGATGCTGATCCTCACGCTTTGGGCTCCTTTTTATGCTCGCACGGAGAGCTGGGGCAGGGGATCGCAGCCTGAACAACAGCTCCCCTTCCTCACAGCCAGGGTGCCAAGGGACCACGGACTCTCACTCTCCTTCTGCCCGCCCCGACCTCAAAATGAGCAGCGAGTTCAAAACCTCATTTCTTTGCACTTGCAAGTGATTGATGTCAGCGATGTCTGTGCATGCAAAAGCCTTAAACCGTCCCCGGGAAACAACGTTCTGGGCTCAGCCTTACCTCGACACACTTGAGGGTGACTTCAGCTCCAGCGTGTACAAACGTGATTCGATGAGCCCGCAGCCCGGCAGTCCGACTCCCCTTTTGAGCACCGATTCCCGCATGGTCGCAGAGCCCGGGGCTGGCAGAGCTGTCCTGGGGCTCGCTCTGCCCTCACTGACAGCGCGAAGCCCGACGCACGGCACAGCCACAGACAGGGAGCACGAGCCGCTGGGATGCGATGGGCGCGGGGAGGCCAAGCTTTATGGCCCCGGGCAGGGCACAGCCCAACACCCGGGTGCCCCCCACTGCGCAGCGCGGCTGCCCGTAAATGCACTGCACGCCTGAGTCTTAGCCCCATCGCCTTTTTGCAGGTTAAAAAGTGAATAAAGAGATTGTGTGTATGGCTCATTTGCATCCTTGAACGCTGTTATCGATTGCCAGAGGGCAGCAGAGGGTGTAAAGGCTGGAAAGCTGCGTTCACCCCAGCCAGGTCTGCTCTCAGGGCTCGCTGTGGGACACAAGGTAGCCCCAAAACTCCCCCTGCCCCCTCCCTACATGTGCACTGCCTGCAAAAACTCATCACGCTGGTGGAAAAAGACATTCCCGAGGAGCTTGCAGTGCCCAGCCCAGACAACTCAGCCAGGCCACAGGGGCAGGGAGAATCACGTCGCTGTTGGGAGAAGGGGTCTACATATACCAGTTAAAATTAATCAGCGTGTTACCGATAGCGTGGAAATTTTTTTTCCTACCTGGTCTAGTGAGACATAGTCCCTCAAGGCAACGATTCCATGATAAATACAGTGACGGTGAAATAATTCTGGGCACGCACAGATCTCCCAGTGTAAGGCTGAGATATAAAGGGATTTGGGAGCATTAGAAAGCCCAGGAGGGAGAGGCGGCCAAGAGGCACGTCAGGAAGGGAACGGTCCAGAAGAGGATGCAGAGTCAGGCACCCCCGCATCACCTCCCACCCAAGGGCACAAGCGCTGTACGACGCCGAAGAGGCACAACTGGGTGGTGGGAGTGTTTGCTCCGACGCCAGGGGACGAAAGGCAGAGAGGCAGGAGCAGAAGCCGAGGGCTGCCCTGTACAAACCAACCTGAGCTTCCCGTACCAGCTGTGCTCACCTGTGAGCTCTGCCCTGGGCTCTTCAGAGAAGCAAGAGGCAGAGCCGGCCTCTGCAAAGAGAGAGATTCCCTCCCAGGGCAGTGGGCACGCTGCTCACACTGCTGCCTTGTTCCGCGGAGACGGGATGGACCCTGCCGCGTATCTCACACAGACCCGTGAGCTGACATTTATAGCTCCCTGTCAGTAATCAATATTTACTCACTCAAGTCTCAGGAGGCTCCTGGTAGCTGAGAGAGGGGTGAGGAATTTCAATAATCCTATCGAACAGCCAAGGGACGTGTTAAAAAGAAAGGGAGGAAGCCAAGTGTGTGCCAGGAACAGGCCCAGTTCCCAGGGGGAGCGAGCTGCAGTGCAGGAAGGGAGGGAGCAGACGGCAGCTTCGGACTCTGGAGCTATTTTTATTATTTTCTTCTTTGAAATTCAAATCTTTAATTGTGCAGAGTGATAAACCTTAAGTGTGATACGGAAAGGGGAACGCAACAGCTTCTAAATCCCTGCCACATCTGCCCTGGAACAGACTTGTCTTAAAACTGAATACGCGAAGCTCAAACAGCGCAATGAGGTTTCTGCCTAGACTGTGATGAGGGAAGTCAAGTGGAAGGTGTTTAAGAAAAAAACCAAAACCCACACAGACTAAAGCCAGGGAGGGAGGGAGCCCAAATAACCAAGCTGGTGTCTCAGCTGAAGCGAGCACTAACCTGAGTCACATCACAAGCCTGTTGCTGAGATCTCCTTCCAGGGCAGCCCACGAAGGCTGGGATGAGCGACACGTCCTGGGCTTTTTCCTTCCCGCTTGTAACACGGAGAAAAATCTACTCCCCAGGAGGCTCTGAAACTAAACTGGGGTTTGCAAAACTGTTCTGGGGGAAACGATACTCAATAAAAAAACCCAACCAAGCCAAGCCAAGGAAGTCTGTTATCAACTACAACCCACAACTTCTGGTGAAAGAAAGGGCCGCAGCCAAGTCTCCAGTCAGTCACCTCTCCATCCAAAGCCAGAAGAGCCAAGGGAAGAAGTGGGGAATAAAAAGCACGTGCCAGGTGGTTTTGTCCCAGTAATAAAACATTTACTAGAGCAAGCAGAAAGTAAATGCACAGCTGATAAAGAAAACATCACAATGTCACAAAAACCTGACAGTTTCTGATACTTCTTTCAGTAGAAACAAGACAGAGGTGGGTGCTGACATGTTTCAACAAAAGAATTCATCCTTACCTTTCTGACGCCAAAAAAAAAAAAAAAGTTAAAAACCAGATAATACACACAATGAGTTAAAAACGGTCAAGCAAGATCTTACAGTTTTAACTACATGTGTCCAATCTGGGGGCGATACTTAAGCTGTTCCACTTCATCCATCGCTTCTCGCGTTCTCCCTAAAGGCTTCTGAGCAGCAGGTCCCTGAATTTCTGAACGAAGCCTCTGCATTTAGCTACGCTTCACGGGGGCACCAGCCTTTGACTGTTGTGGCGTATCTACATCTTTTTTTCCCTTTCTCGTTTTTAATTTGAAGAAAGCACTCAACCTCTCATAATAGAGGGCGCATAGGCACAGCAGCGAGACAAATTTGCTATGCAGGCTTCCACCAAAATGAAGGTTATTAGGGAAGAAAAGAGTCTTTAAAAGAAACAAAACAAACCTGGGCAATGGGATTGGGGTTGATGTACTGACCACAAACTAGCCAGGGAGTCCATCCTACCCTACAGGTGAATTTGTGGTTAGCTGGGCTGGAGATGGATCCCTCGAACAGCTTCGTTAAAGGAAAAAAATAATAGTGAAAAAAATAATAGTAAAAAAAATAATCAACTTGCTTCATCCCACCCTCAGCAATGCAAATTGATACATTCTTAGTTGACGGGGAGAAGAGACATGAGGAGCAACCTGGAGGCCAAATTATTTGAGGATAAGAGAGTATGTGAAGAACCTGGGGGAGAACTCACCATACTGAACAAATTGTTGAAAGAGTAATGTTTAACAGGTGGGTCCTGAGCATCTCTAGATGGCCTGGTTTTTATAAATGTGAACGCTGGTTAAGAAAAAACTACTTTGTACTTCTATGGACAGCAGTTTTGTGACGTTCCAAGGATGTAAACCAGCTTCTTTCTCGTCAAGATCTGTTTAATTCCAGCACAGAGTCATTTGAGCACTGAATGTTTAAAGCATAACCCAGGGAGCTTTATCAAAATGATTTCTCTTGGACTAAGCACTGTGTGTACGTATCATCAGAGCGAATCCGTCCGCAGATGTCCCGGCCCAGACTTGCAATGGGGAGGTTTCATGGTTTGCTTCTCCTCCCCCAGCTGCTCAACAACCAGTTCCCAAAACCCCCACAAAATCCTCTGGAAAAAGGCAACACTACCTGCAGAGACTCCAGGCTGTGCAGCTTTTAACTGTCCCACCGGCTCTTCTTACGTTTTGGGGGCTCGGGGACAGCAAAACCATCTGTCTTGTTGTCCCGGCTGTTGGCATCCTTCCTGTTCTCGCCATTCCTGTTCTCGTTGTTCCTCCCTTCACCGCTATTCCTGTTCTCGCTGTTATTGCGATTGCCGCCGCCCGCATCGGCGAAGTGCCGGCTCTCGCTGTGACGATGGTTGTCACCGTGCCGGCCCTCTCCGTGGCGGTAAGCGTCATTGTGGCGACCGCCTCCTCCTTCTCCGTGGCGTTGCATGTCGTGGCGTTGCACATCGTGGCGTTGCACATCGTTGTAGCGACCGCTGCCCTCTCCACGGCGTGGGACCTCGTTGTGGCGACTGTTCCGGTTGTCGCTGTAGCGTTCTCTGACAACCCCAAAAAAAAGGCCAGAAGCGGCAACGCCGCCGCCTTCTCGACTGTTGGCGCTGGCATTCGTGTTGTTGAAGCCCTGTGCTCCGACACTTGGGAAGGTGGGAACGCTGCTCAAATTCCCCGTGCTGGTGAAACCTGGGACGCCCTTTGCCGCTGCGGCGGCC